AGAACATTCTCGTTCACCATTCCTGGCTGGTGGAACGATCTTCCCACCCCTATCCGGAATGCTGAATCCCTGACAACTTTCAAGCGACAGCTGAAAACTCATCTCTTTCGAAGCTACTTGACTTCATCATCATCATTATAAAAAAAAAAAATAAAAAAAATTCTCTCTCTTTATTTATTCCTTCTCTTTCTAGCTTGTACTTATTTGAACAATGTCTAGAAACTTGGTATTACAAGCATTTCCTGTATCTGTTTGCCTCTTTAAGAAGAATCGCTTTATGTATCCCCAAATTGTAAGTCGCTTTGGATAAAAGCGTCTGCAAAATGACTAAATGTAAATGTAATGCACGCGTGTTGCCTGATCCACAAATGCACATTTTAATCGCTACATGCACAAATCATGATACTTTAATACAAACTATAACATTTGTATTCACAAATATGTCTCTATTTGAACAAAATGCTGCACATTAATGTAATTCTTAACTCTGCAGACACCAGTTGAAAAGCATTTGTTTCAGTGTAGTGACGCACATTTGCGAATTTTTCAAATCGTGTACACGCTAATGAATTGCACTGGGCCTTGCTCGTTGGTAGTTGTGTGTGGGGGACGTGAAATGCTGTAAACTGCGAAAATGATGTCTCAAAATCCAAATGAACCGAACAAGATCGACTGGAACTAGATGCCAATTAATGCACGCGTGTCACCTGATCCACTTATGCACGGAATCCTTTTTGCATGAGCAATTTATGATATATTAATGCAGAACAGAAAATGTTTCTTACATGTCTGTATTTGTACAAATCGCTGCACAATCATTTAATCCTGAATTCCACAGACTCAAATTGAAAGGCATTTGTTTGTATGTGTGTGGGGGACGTGAAATGCTGTAAACTGCGAAAATTATATGTCTCAAAATCCAAATGAACCGAACAAGATCGACTCGAACTAGATGCCAATTAATGCACGCGTGTCACCTGATCCACTTATGCACGGAATCCTTTTTGCATGAGCAATTTATGATATATTAATGCAGAACAGAAAATGTTTCTTACATGTCTGTATTTGTACAAATCGCTGCACAATCATTTAATCCTGAATTCCACAGACTCAAATTGAAAGGCATTTGTTGGTGGTTAGTAAGATACATGTATAAAATGTATGCAGTACATGGATAATTGTGCGTGCATCTATTAATCATTTTGAGTCTAATTTCATCCCATAGTGGGGGGCGGTGCCGCGGTAGGCAAATAACGTAACCGGTGTTGCGGCTTAACACCGGTATAACCGAAAACACCGTCTATCGCAGCAATCCTAATCTTAAGCACACAGAATAAGATAAGTGGACTTTGAACGATTAATTGCTGCTTTGAACGATTACGTAATTGTGGCATCCATAATTGTAATCGCGATTAGAAATTCAATTAATTGTGCAGCCCTAGTGCAAAGTAGGCGCCAGGATGAGCAACTAAATTAAACGTAGTTGAATGACTACCATTGCCATTACCTGAGTGTTTCACCATGTTAGACATGCATATACATAATCCTAAAAACTTACTAAACGTTTTGAAGAAATAATTATATATTGCCTATTATATAATTATATATTGCAATTAATTTAAATTAAATTAAAGCAAAGCAAAGCTTGATCAATTAATTAAATTACATTTTAATGCATTTTTGGGCTTCTTGTTTTCTGTTCCTGTTATGACATGATGCATCCTGAGCTGTATAATTTTCTTTAAATTATTATTGAGGATGAGGAAATGACCATATCTCATCTATAATGAAAGAGAATGCAAACTGTTTTTATCTGTAAATCTAGTAACTCCTAGTGATGCCGACAGTTTCCCAGTCTATTGTATCCAGATTCTAATTATACCCCACAGATTTCTTGGAAATAGTGCTATGTATGTATAT